CTGACACTGAATCAGAAGTTTCACCCCAGAGAAAACTTGAGCACCAGGCAAGTTCCAACAATTCTCAGCAGTCCTGAAACCAAATCTCACTCCAGTATACTCAGAGGCATTCTATAAATATCAAGCCAATATTAGTGGATTTTTTATCTTTAAAAAAATTAACATAAAATGATTAGCCAGAATGCATTTGCATACACTTCTCACAGGAATATAAAACAGTACAACTTTTCTGAATAGTAATTTGGGAAGATATATTAAGGACTATAATACAATTCATATTCTTGGACCCCCAAATTTTATGTCTAGGCATTTATCCCAAGGATATAAAAAGTGTTTATAAGCATTTATATACAGAACTGATACCACAGCCATTATCTATTATAGTAAAATCTGGAAATAACTTACATGTCCAAAAGTGGGAGAATAACTAAATAACTGAAGGAATAAAGAGAGTATTAAGAGCTATTAGAAACCATGTTAAAACTGTGTGGATGAGGATGTCGGAATACAGGGTCTCTCCCTACCTAACCAACAGGTGTGCCGATTGGCACAAACTAGGGAGAGAAACCCGGCAACTCATTCCTTCAGTCAGTAAATCCTTCCCGAGCACCTGCCACCTTTCTCGGCATTTGGAATATCTATCACAGCTCGCACTGCACATACCATCTTACAGAGCAATTCCGCTTTGAGGAATTAATCCTTCACACATACTCCCAAGTGTGGGAAGTGACATATTTTAGGTTATCCTTTGCAGAATGTTTATAACAGCAAAACCTTGTAAGTTACCTAAATGTCCATCAATAGAAGACTAGAAAAATCTATCGACACATCCATAAAATGGAGTATTTTTCAACATAAAAAAAGAAACAGGGAGTTAGTTCTTCATGTGCTGATGTGAAACAATCTCCAAGATATGTGTTTTGAGTAAAATAAGGTAAGGTGACAAATAGTATAAAATACCACAGTTTGACAGGTGGGGGCAACGCGGGTGGGGAGTACACACAGGTATTTTGCATAAATAGCTCCAGAAAGATACACAGAAACTGTTAACATTTGTTGTCCCCAGAGAAGAGAGCTGGGTATCTAGCAGACGGGTGAAAAGAAGATTTCTCATCATATATACTTTTGTACCTTTTTTATTTATCTTCACAAAAGTAAATAAAATGTAAATTATCTTATTTTCAAATAAAAATTAAATGAAATGTTAAATCACATGAACAATTACTATTATACAATGTCACGTAGAAAAATAAAATTTATATGTGTATATATATAATCTTAAAAATATTTTTAAAATATTCTTTATATGAAAAATACGTTTAGAAAAAAAGAACTAAAATACACACAAATGTTAACAGCAGTTATTTTTATTATTTCTAATCTTTGTACAATGGAGAAATACTACTTTTATAATCAGAAAAAAATTATAAAAAATAAAATGTAGTTAGGAAATACTAGCTGACCTGATAAATGACCATTAGAAACAACTGACCTTGCATTAGAATAATGGAACAGAAGAGAACTCAGCAAAATGAATCACAAGGGACCACTACGTTGGGTTATCAGGGACTTCTTCACAACAGGGAAATAACAGGCAGGAAGCGTTCCTAAGAAAGATTCTCAAGACCGTTACAAAAACCCAGTGTTACATATTTTCTGTACCTTTATGCAATCTTAAAGATAAAATAAGATCACACTGGGGAAGAAAAAGCAAGTAAACACTAAAAAATCCGAAACAGTATTATTCCACACATAACCATGTAGAATTTAGGGCCACCTTCTCAAATAAATAACATCATGAATCATTGAAAAATTGATTCTGCATGGCATTTTGTTTATTCACATGTAATCCAGGTCAAATTCCATTAAAATAAACTTGAGGAGACACTCCACATACCAGAGCCATTGCATACCACTGACAGCATCCAGAATTGCTTAAAATCAGGGGCTCTGACTGGGGATGTAGAGATATTTTCATTACATACCAATTTCCCTCCTAACCCTTATCTGACCTTTATTGGATTCGCTTTCTGGGAGTCAGCCTCATAGCTCTGGGCTGGAAACAAGCAAGAAGAGCTTCAGGTTTAGAATGCGCTATATTTACTTCTAAGCTGAGGGGATTTTAAAAAGTAATGTTTAGGAAAACCCTGTATATTCTGGTCTACCAGGGACCCTCTTCAGGCCCTCAGCTTGCTGCTCATCTTTGTTGCTGTCCTCAGGTGCCAAGAACAAGTGCCAAGGCCTCAGTGCCTTGCAGCCACAGGCACTTGATAGGAACTTGCTTAAACGAGATGGGTCCTGCCACAGCCTAAGTGACAAATCTTCTCAAGTGTAGGTTTGAAGTTAACTAAGTATAAAATATCTTTCAAATGTGACCTGTTTCATTTCACTTCAGCAGTGGTTTTAGAAACCACTTCAACAGGTATTTTACAAACTAGAAATCAACAGTCACAAAACTGAAGATTAAGCATTTAGTCTTTTTCACATGAAGTATTAACACAGAACCTTTATAATTTTAATAAACTAACAAAAGAAATTTTAGAATGCATATTATTACATCAAGGTATTACATCAATACTACATGAAATGTTCACTATAAATCAAACTTGAGTAGGACCAATGTAAATGCTTTCAAATAAACTCAAGTTAAGAATAACTTACTGTCTCCTACTTGCAAAAATGCACTATTCCAGAACCTAATAGAATATGAAAACAGCAGTCCCAGTTGAAATTAATTTAAGGTTATTAAGTAGAAAACAAGTAACAAGAAGATTGCTACCTCCTAACTTACAACTATTTGGTTGCCCAGGAAATTAGCAGAGCTTAGAGACAGTTTAACTTTACACAATGATGCTATCTAGGGCATCTTAAGTTAAATGGATCTTGAAAATGACTTAATGTTGTTATTAGTTTGAAAAGGGCCTTTAATGGAGGAAGTGGCTTTGATGGCTACTTAGATACCACGATAAAGCACAGGATCAAGGCATTTCATCATGAGATCCAAATTAGCTGGATGACTCTGAAGGTTTCCTAGGTGCTTACATAAGAATTCGGTCCACAGAGAAATGCTAGTAAGCACGGCATTCTTCCTTCTTCAACTCTGGCATCCCACAAAGTTGGCTGTTTTACAGAATAGCATTAAGTAAGAAGCTAAAGGAGCGAAAGACTCAAGTCTTGCCAGATTTCCCATGGCATAAATAACAGCCGTAGCCATTAAGCAGCCACCAGGGGACGTAGTTAGAGCAATGTCCCAGGTAGAGGACTTGGGTAAGGCAGCTGCTCCACAAAGAGCATTAGCCAAGGCCAGCAGGAAGACCTCCACTGAAGACCAGTCCAGCACCACAGGAGAGGCAAGTATCTTCCTGTATCACTGGGCCCCATGTTTGAGCACCAATAGTAGATCTTAGGTGTTGACCTGAGAAAAAGCCTATGCCCCCTAAGCACTAATCACAGTCCTTTCATATCAATATAATTTACAAAGACTAGAATTTAACGTACTTAGGAAATCCTGTCCCACATCAGTTTTCAAAAGAGTAAGAATATTTAGAATTTTCAAGACAAAATTTATCAGCCACTATACAGGGATCCCATCTATATCAAAAATGCCGCATTCATAAGATTTATACCAACCTAATAACTACAGAATACATAAATTTAATAAAGCCATGCTTCTTCCATGTTGCTACTAGGGCAGTCAAAGAACAAGGTAACTAAATTTATTCTTCATTCAAAGTACACTTAAAATAAAAGAAAACAAAGGCAAGACATAATGCTGAAAGAGAATTTTAAAGCCATTTCCAGAAAACAAAACAAAACCCAAATCCTTACATAGTAAGATTTTCCTATCTACATAAGAATAAGCATCTTAAAATGACAACTTTAAAAATTCAATGTAATTTCTTCAAAAGTAAATAGGTACTATCTCCTCTTTTTTGCTTTCATTATAAGTCAAAAGAAAATGACAAATTCTACTCATTCTTGGATGTAAAAATGTCTGGATTTCATTCTAAGGGAATCCCATGTTCAGTGACACTTGGATCAATACATAACACTACCTACGTGTCTTCATGATAGATTGACATAGTATAAAAAATTCTAGTATCTCTCTTAAAACATTCATTAATATTTACTAGATATGCTGGCAAAGATTATACTTTTTTAATAAACACACAAATTTTAACTAAAAGTTATAACATAACAAGCATCACTTGAGCAGCATGAACCCTGGAAGCCAAAGATGATCCATGGAAGTTATGGAAAGCTAACTAAACCTCAGTGGCTCAAATGTGCCACAGCAGGCACCCCTATGGTGACCACCACATCTGAGGAAGACCTGAGGTGGATGTTTCAGTTCAGTTGCCGTATTCAAAACATAACCACTATAACCACACCCTCAGGCTTCACGCTGTCCAATTATGCAGTGTCTGCAATATGCCGGTACAAAACGCAAGTCCTTTGCTGACGTCCAAGTTCTCCTCTACTATAGTGACACCTTCAGACTGTAGCTACACATGACCCTGCAAAAGGAATCTGAAATTTCAAAATAGCAAACACAAATTAAATTTTTCTCTCACTTTTCATGTGCCCCATAGGTGACTTACCTCTGTATTTAATGAGAGTCCACTGTTAAAGAATATTGTTGCAACAGCAATGTAGGAGACGGTTATTTCTGGCTTCAGTGGTCCTAAAGAGAGAGAAATGAGTGACTGTTAGATAAGAATTTCCAGGAGATAACTTGATATGAAAGAAGAAGCCGTTGGAGGAGAGCAAACCATGCTTTAAATCTTCATGTTGCCTCTAATACACTAATGTGCTGACAGAGTTAAGCATTTGCTGTAGTGCAGCCCAACTCCAGAGAACATTTCCCGGAGGGCAAGGACCATGGCTGTCCAATTCAGCACAGCATCCTCAGACCAGAAGGATGACAATAAATGCTGCTCTCACACAGGAGAGCAGATAGGTAGCATCCTTAAATATTAGGTCCTAATTTTATCTGCCACACTATCAGTGCTTAGATAATGATCAAAATTCCCCAGACCAAAGGAAAAAAATCAATGGAAAGAATTCTATCTCTTTAGCAAATATTATTTTATTCCTCCTAGGATATCAGAAATCAGAGCTTATGTTCATGCATACATTCAGTTTTGCCCAAGAGTATTCAGGCTACAAATATTTACTGAGCATTTACTTACTATGTAAATGAGATAATGAAGAGAGTAGCAGAGGACTTAACAATAGTTGTTAAGACTATAATTATTATAATTATTATTAAATTGTGCCAGGCCCTGGGCATACCGCTGTGAACCAGACAGGTCTGATCTTTGACCTATGGAAAATCCTCTCTGGAGATAGGCTGGCATCACCCCAGATGGGTTAACACTGTGGGTACAACAGGGACAACCCTAATATTTATTTAGTTTTGTAGTTTATGTACAGTTGGGTTGAAGACCTAATGTGCTAACCAAAGAACAGCACTCTTTTAAAAGCTGTAATTCTGAGAAATGCCATTTTATAGCTGTATACCAGTGGTTTTCCAGCAGCAGCAATTTTGCCCCTCCATGGATGTTTGGCAGTGTTTGGGAACTGTTTTTTTAGTTCTTATAACTCAGGGGATAAGGTGTGTTACTGGCATCAAGGAGAAATCAGGAATTCTGCTAAATATCCTGGAAGGTATAGGATAGCCCTCCTGACAACAAAGAATAATCATGTCCAAAATGTCAAAATGGCATGCACCAACATTTTAAAATCTGACATCATCTCATATTTGACATTCTATTCAACTCTCTTGTGCTGGGTTGAACAGTGTCCTCCCCCGGCCAAATTCATGTACACCCAGAACCTATGTTTGGAAATTGGGTCTTGGCAGATGTAATCAAATGAAGACGAAGTCTTACTGGATTAGGGTGAATTGTAATCCAGTGACTGATACTCTTAGGAGTAGAGAGAAATTTGGACACAGTCACACACAGAGGGAAGATGGCCACATGAAGACAGAGGCAAAGGCTGACGTTCTATTACCACAAGCCAAGGAACACCAAGGACAGCTGGCATCCACCACAAGGCAGAAGGAACAAGGAAAGATTCTTCCCTAGAGCATTCGGTGGGAGCATGGCCCTGCTGACATTTTGATTTCTGATTCCTAGCCTCCAGAGTAATTTCAAGCCACATGGTTTGTAGTAATTTGTCATAGCAGCCCTAGGAAACCAATACATGCCCTGGAGTAAAACAACAGGACAGACCACAATCATAGCTCCTCAGCTCCCTGCGACCCTCCACCACGCCCACACATACTGCTCAACAAGAGACCAAGCTCGGAAAAAAATCATCATTCAGTCCATCGACAAATATTTATTGAGCAACTACCACGCGACATTTTAGGTATTTGTCATACATCAGTGAATAAAAGAAACAAAGATTTCAAACAATGCAATACATTCTTTTAGATAACTGGCATTGACACAAATCATCGTGCTGAGATCTGAAAACAGGGAGCAAAAGGGAAAAGGCAAGTAAAAAGGGATTACACTTCAGGGCAGGTAAAGCTATTCAGAAACTTAAAAAGAAGTACTTTTTTTTATCCTTATGAGTGAATCTGTCTCAGTCGCTCACACTGAGAAATAGTATTTCCTCGATGACTGGTGATTCAGGAGCAGATTGTAAAAGTCAGGGAATCTGGCTTGTTTCAGAAGTAAGTGCCTTCCAGGAATTTTTAATGCTCTGTTTGGTTTTTTGTTTAAACTCTTATCAATTTCCTTTTCCTCCAACCCCCTGCTTTTTGTGAAGCTCTATTTTTGTCACCTGTGCATCTATCCCCAGGGGTGCCCCAGATTTTCTGTATCGGATGGGTTAGAGTTAGCAGTACGTTCACAAGTGAGGGCTAGGAGATGAGCTCAAAGCTGCATCTCCATTGGAAGCCCACGGAAACCCACGACATTTATTTAGACAGTGTTTTTTGGGGGCAGACGAAGCTTGTACCATAGTCAGTCAACAACTGTATACTTTTAGAAGCTAACTCTTCCCAGATTCCTCAAAAGACGAGGAACAGACTTACTATATGACCCAGGAATCCCGCTCCTGGGCATATATCCAGAAGGAACCCTACTTCAAAATGATACCTGCACCCCAGTGTTCATAGGAGCACTATTTACAATAGCCAAGACATGGAAGCAGCCTAGATGTCCATCAACAGATGACTGAATAAAGAAGAGGTGGTATACGTATATGATGGAATACTATTCAGCCACAAAAACCAACAACATAACGCCATCTGCAGCAACATGGATGTTCCTGGAGAATGTCATTCAAAGTGAAGCAAGCCAGAAAGAGAAAGAAAAATACCATATGAGATCGCTTATATGAGGAATCTAATAAAAAAAAATAAATACAAAACAGAAACAGACTCATAGACATAGAATACAAACTTGTGGTTGCCAAGGGGGTGGGGGGTGGGAAGGGACAGACTGGGATTTTAAAATGCAGAATAGATAAACAAGATTATACTGTACAGCACAGGGGAAAATATACAAGATCTTGCGGTAGCTCATAGCGAAAAAAAAAGTGACAATGAATATATACATGTTCATGTATGACTGAAAAATTGTGCTCTACACTGGAATTTGACACAACATTGTAAAATAACTATTACTCAATAAAAAAATGTAAAAAAATAAATAAAATAAAATAAAAATAAATAAATAAATAAAAATAAATTTTAAAAATGCAGCTGACAGGGAACTAGAAAAAAATAAAGCAGCAGCTAACTCTTCCATGCTCCATGCACATAAATATAAATGCATACGATAACAGTTAACTGGTATAATTCAGTGGAATGACCTCTCACTATCAATGTTCTAAATCTTAGAGATAGGTCATACTGCTTTTTGTATTAGATGCACATCTAAATAACTCTAATCCATGAAAGGACATGGTGAGGATATTCCTGGCCTACCTACAACGTTCCCTTTAAAAAGGGAAGGAGGAATTAATCCTAACTTAGGGAAACCTAAAGCCCTTTTGAGACCGATGATGATAGATTGCCACGTGTTGTGAACACGGACCTGGAAGTCAGGCAGGGCTGAAATAAAAAGTTGGTAAATATTTGCACAGAGGTGAGAGTTGAAACAACGCTGTAAAAACGATATCTGGCCCCTCTCCAAGGTGATGATTATATCCTCCAAGTCACAAAAAGAACCAGATTCAGACCTTGAGATGGCTGTAAAGCACAAGGTAGAAATACAACTTTCAACTTTTCCTGAAACAAAAGCCAAAAAAAAAAAGAAATGTTTATCAGTGAAAATGAAATGTGATAGCAATATCAAAAGAAAAATTGGCCATAAAAAAAAAGGAGGCAATTTTGGGACTCCAAACCCATGCTTTTTAATGTAGGGGGAGGAGAGGGGGAGAAAATGATTTGCAGTGCTTAAGAATGCAAGGAACTACTACCATTTCATAAAATATATTCATCCCCAGGTAAACTTCACTTCTAAACGTAAACTAAGATATTCACACTAATATGCTTAAGCTTATAGCATGTTATGTTTTTTTCATGGAAAAAACAAGCCCTTCCTTTTTAGGATTTATGTTTTATTAATGGCAATAATTTCAACAAAGATGCAGGTAGAAATGGGAAGCTTACTCTGTATTTTCAAAGAAGTAAATCTTTCTCTTCTGAAAATGAATCGCACAGTGTTGAACTGCAGTAAACTCATAGCTCAGGGCTTCCCTGGGTTGAAATGGAACAGATTATTGACATCTTAGAATCTACACATCTACATCCACTGTGGCTCTTTACTTTCAACCTTCTTTATTTAGAAATGAAATGTAACTGAGTAAAAAGAACAGGGAACTAAGAATTAAATTATCTAGCTAGTACTTATTATAACTTTTCCCATTTGGAAAATCATCCAACTCTCTAATTTTAGGGTTCCCATATCTATAAATTTCCTGCCATACATAACTCATCCATTGGCTATAAAGATTGTTTTTAAAGGGAGGTCAGGTAAGGGGGGAGGGTACAGCTCAGTGGTAGAGTGCAGGCGTAGCATGCACGAGGTCTGAGGTCCTGGGTTCAATCCCCAGTACGGCCA